TTTCCCTCTTTTTTTTTTTTTTTTTTGGCAATTGGAAATTTTTTTAGACACAATGGTAAAAAAATTTATCATTTTTATTGACAATTTCCATGCAAAACAAATCCAAACGAATGGTAGTCGGTATGGTAATTTTTTTTTTCCAATTTTTTATTTTTATTTTTTTGGTAATTGAAACAAATTCTAGACCTAAGGGTAGAAAAAAATATCACTTTTCCAAAAAAAAAAAAAAAACGAAGCCAAACTTTCAATATTTTTCAGGTGAAAAATTATACCAATCAAACACAATTAATTACAATTCCCTGTTAAACAATTCCTAAGCAATTCAATTCCCTATAAAACATTTTCTTTCCACTCATTTTCTACATTTGCAATCAAACGGACCCTCAGTGTCGAGGAATAGTCCCCAGTGACTAGAGACAAGATCAAACTATGTCTAAATGTAGTTTGGAGATTTTGTCTGAAAAGCCTAATTAACAATAATATTTGGCTGCTAAATTTTCAACAGTAATTTTTTCTTTAAAAATTTCTGCAAGAAAGGACATTTAGCCGAAAGGTTGAGATAGACCAAGGCACCGTTGATATTGGATCCTCTATTCTATTCTCAACTTTTGACATGAAATTAAACATGTAGCCTCCACTTCATTCTTACCCGAATTAAATCATATCCTTTCCAACACCTTTTTTTTTTTTTTGCAGAAGCGTTTACGTAAACAGAAAATTTTCAAAATCCGAATCCAAAGGTAGTTCATAACAAGGTTTCTACAGCCACCAGATCCGAGAAAAATGTAGAATATTTGATTTTTTGTTTTTGCTTCGTAATACTTCTTCATACATGTACAACAAGCAACTTTAACATAGAGGAGGCAACGTGTCAAAAATCAATAAAGGGTCTCTAGTACCGTCTCCACATATTATGTAACTAAACTTTGATAAAAGTAATCTACAAATTGACACCCATATTTTTCTAAATTGTATTTCTTCCACTCCTAATATATTTTATCATCTTACTTGAATGTCAAAATGCACGTGATCGTTACACCCACTGGAACTACGATCTATGTAACCTAACGTTGATATTCAAGCGTGCAAGTAATATACGCAAGGATGAGAGAAGACCTAGAATTTATTGACAATTGGATCTCGTCGAATTCGAAAGTCAACACATTACTAATTATATGCATTTGTAAAAAAAATCAAGTTTTACCAATCTTCCACTAAGGCCCTGTATGGGAGGGATTCTCAAAATTCTACAGTAAATCAATTCTCATTTTTAACCATACATTGTTCAATAAAATAATATTTTCCATCACATCAATAATTTTTTCTTCTTTTTCAACCATACATTTCCTATCATATCACTATTCAAAATCAATTCTTCCCCCCAAAAATCCCTTCTAAACAAGCACTAANGCACCAAAAAATCAAACGTATGGATATTTTCCACACAACCCGTCATAGGTAGGGACATTTTGCGC